AAAGTTTTCCAACTCCCGAATTATTTTAAAACCGCTTGGCCGTCACACTTACATTCAGGGTTTCATACTACAACTGTGTGTGTTCCGTATACAAAAAATCATACATTTCCACATATTACTGGAAGAATACCAAATTGAGTTCAAATAATTTAGCACTGGATTTGAGCCATATAACAAACTTTACAAGAAACACTAACAAGTGTAGACACACAATGTTTTATGAACGGACATTTCGCGGTCTCCAACAGTCTCACAATTCGATTTTTTTCAGATCGAATTGTATAAAATTCAAAGAAGACCTGATTTTCGACCAAATGCGTAAAACAATGAAAATTATTATGCAAGTTTTCTATGGAATATATTTGAATTTATCAGGGTCCAAAAATTAATGAGAAAAATTTTGCTATTTAAGTAATCATGTTTACAGAGTATAATTTTCGCACACGGTCGAAAAGACGTTTATGCAAAAGCCGGCAACCTGAAATAACCTAATTATAATGCTACTACGCTGCATGGTGACTAATATTATAGTCTAAGAAGTTTTTTCGAATCGAAGATGCATTTGAGAATTTCGAATAACGTTTCATGAGCCAGCACACCTAATGTACTCTGTGGTTTTCAGTGTTCTCGACTGACATTCCAAAACACAAGTTTTTTAATCTGTATCCATAAAGCCTTCAAACTAAGGTGTTCCTCGGAAGAGTCTACTAAACCAATAAGTACTGTGTGTGACCTGGTTCGAGTAGCTTGCGGTTTAGTCTGTTTTGGTTGATTCGCGCAAATCGGAAGCCTAATCGTCAGAGAAATGGACCGTCCTCCGCAAGGGCTTGCGATGAATATGCTTCTGATTGATTGGAAAACCCTAGATTGATATGTTGTCTTTCTACAAACGCTTTGCGGGACATTTGTCTGGCAGAGCACCACATACTTTATCTTTTGGAATGTTCTGTTCACTTATGCTCTTCCACGAAATATGCACATTAATTTCGTTGTAGACAAAAATGTCTCTTTCCTCGTTACATCGTAGTCAGTTTCTTTATCCCCATTTGTTTTAGGCACGTCGCTTCCACGCACACTTGCTCGTCAAATTAGTGTCCCCAGTAGGAAACCACACGTATTAACCAATTCTTATCAAGACGATTACTAAGGTAGTAAAATTATATGAACAAAAAGAAGCATATTTGCGCCAAGATTTGCAATCACTTGGATTAGAAAAGTATTCTGGATAAGAAAATGCCATCTTCTGGAACGCAATAGACAAATTAAAAAATGTACAAAATTGACTACGCAAGGAAAGAATCATCTAACCTCCCGTCATCCGGTTTTTAATTTACAACGTTTGATGCATATTGGCCTGATGATTAATTTTTAAAAATGTATCGATTGGGCGTCCCCTTCAGTATACTAAGCGTATTAAAGCAGGACAAAATATTAATCTTGGTGGAACGGCTAACTTACTTGAACAGGTAGTCAACCGAACAGATTAACAACAACAAATAATCTATTAATAGCTACTGCAGCGAATGCAGGGGTTCTTACGTTGGCTACTAAAAATCGCTTTAAACGATTGTATGACGACCTGCCTCCTATGGGACCTGATAATTTGCATTAATATGACAAAATCGGGTAAAAATACATGGATCGGCGGACGCATTAAATCAAATGTGTGTCCAAGTGCTATTTTAACAACAGTGAGCACTTCAACTTTATCTAACTGAAATGTCTCCTGATTGGCCAAGACGATTCTGAAAGTAGGCTGAATAAGTGCATGTTCTTGCTAATCCCTAAAGCGTGGCCTGTGTTCTGGTAGGTTATCGGGGCAGACAGCTTCGTGAACGTCATTGGTCGTAGGGATAATTTAAATGCAGCACTCAAGCGTGACATAGGGCTACTGGATCGCGGTATAAGTTGACCTAAATGGAACCATAAAGACCCCGTACGTTTTCCCAATCCGTAAATTTATTAAACGTGCATGTTACATACAGTTTGTAAAGAAGGCTTCTTTAGAAAAGAATAATTTTTTTCATAAAATATGAACCATCTCATTTGAGCATACAGAATGTAAAAAACGTTGCTTTTAAACAGTTTATCTCTCTGGCACGTTTTCCAGGATGCAAACTGGTGGAGAAATGTTGTATGTAAAAAGACAGCCGACTTTAGTTGAAAATAAACCTGTTGGTTTCCTTTGCGCAGCGGTGGTAAAGGGGCGCTCACTGGCTGTTTTAACGTGAATCATTTGTCCATTTGTGCCGTACGGGCTTTCTCTAAAATCCAACCATCAGCCGCGCATCAGTGCATGATAAAAGCAGGATCCTATTGCCAACAAAGACAAGGAGGACTGGAATGGCCATTTCTGGCTTATTAGCCGTCGTCAGCCTGTCATACCTAACCACGAGGTGTAAAATAACTAAGGCTCGATCCTGCCACCTGTTGGTTTGATGTCCAATGCCTCTAACTACTGAGCCACGGGCTTGTTCTCCTGTCTTTTTCGATCAGGAATGTACAATAGTAAAGGGGCGCCAGTCGTTTGTTTTCGCGGAAGTCGGTCGTTCCGTTGTGCCTTACGGGCTCTCTTTCGAGCTATAAGTCCAGACGTTTCCGCACAGACGCATTTCTTTCCAGCTCGACTCCATTAACAAGCGTGAACACAGATTTCAATCCACCTGCACCAGACGTGGTTATGCTGCACATAAGTTCTTCTTAAAGGATCTTCGTGGTTTTTTTCGAGAGATAGTATTTTTCGAATGAAAATTTTTCTATGGCACAGAAGTACTTAGTAAATTCTCTCTTCCTTTTTCTAACACTGAACACCTTTACACATTTCGTAGTCAGTGAAAGAAAAATTTCATTCTCACTATAGTTTAAGTTCAATATTTGATTCAGTTAAACGGTGTCTCCACATTTGCATAATTTTCAATGCACCAAGGCCAATCTTATCGTGCCTTTAATAATACTTACTTAAGGTAACAAAAAGCTCACCAGATATAAACCCACTGTCTTGTTTTATGGACAATTTTACTACAGACAATTAATCCTGACAGTCTTCTACATAGGCAGAATATGTGCATGTATGCACGTTTTCATAATTAAACAGGCAAGCTTAATGACATTTCAGAAAAAAACGTTCCTTAACCCTATCCCAAACAGAAGCTCAAAACACCTTGATCGGCGTGGACTAAAGTACAAATCTTTTAAAATTCATTGCCCTACAAAAGCGTTGGACAGATTTTCTGAAAAATTATTGACGATCAATGGAGCAGAGAAATTTCACTTGAGTTCCACGATGCCACCACCTTTTCTCAATCGTCTTACCAAGAAAGCTAATATTCTTAACGAACACATTTATTTATCCTTTGGTAAACAATCCGCACACCCACTAGTCCTTCATAGTTGCTTTTGTCGAAGTCATTTAGACACGTTGAGCGTGATCAATATCTGCTGGATAAAAAAGGCATGGTCTACCACAGTACGAAGTACTGTTCCCAAATCAGTAGTCATCTCGTTCAAAGCTCAATGAGGGAAAAGTACGTGATGTCTGAGGAATACTAGCGACTGAAATTTATCCTTCATACAGACCAAGTGTGAGTTTAGGCTTCTAATCTTGGTATTAAATCAACATGCCCGGAACTTAATGTTCTTCCAATCCATTTGAGGTTACGGCAGGATATGCGACGTGGGCGCAAATGGAAATTTATGTTCCGGAACCTCCAAACACAGTGAAAATTTTAAGTCCCATTGGAAAGGATAATGTGCCCGTGGCTCAGTGATTGAGTTTTTTGGCAAAAAAGGTCCATTTGTAAAACAACCGAGTTCTAATTCCAGGTTGTTAAGGTTTGAGGTAGGGTAAGACATACTAATGACGTCTAATAAGCTAGAAATGGACAGGCCAGTCTACACTACCCTTGTCGGCACCATTTGCAACTGCTATAGAACTGCTTGCGAGGGCTCCAGGTTGAACCACAAGGCAAACTGAATGTTCCTTAAGTTGAGCCGTGAACGGCCCTTCCGCGATAATTATTATAAAGAACTCTTAAAGAAGCGTGAATAGTATTAAACGCAAAACGTTTCTGTCACCGAAATGAAGCCTACCGCTATTGAAGGCTAATTCATAGATAAGTATAGGAAATAGCTGAAGGTTTCCTCCGGTTGCTTGAGAACTGTGTGATTTGACTAGACGTTCTTCCTTGAAAAGGACCTGGTCGGCAGCCGTGATCAGGACATCTGCCGTCCCCGTGAACGTCAAAAATGAAAGTCTCTTTCTAAACTCCAGGGACGAACAATAGCCAATCAGGTCTCAGCAGGTTGTAAATTAAAGATTTGATTTTTGCAACATTTATTTAAAAAGAGCAAGCAATTCATTGCATTTTTGGTTTCAAGGCAATCGATCATCAGCCCGCCTTGCTGGACTAAAACATCTGGATGCTGAAAGATAAAACGAACTCGATGGCAGCTTGCCGATTTCAGTAATTACTTTTCACTTCTTCACGAATTCGACAAAAGCACAAGTTCTTTAGGAGCGGTCATCGTTAAGGAGTTCCACAGAATAAGTTGGTTAATCCAAGAGCAATAAGAAATTCATAATTAAGGTTGCATGCATTTTTATGCCTAGAATCGCATTCAAAAACGGAACTGGACTCTATAAGAAACATATTTTCGGCTATAATTATGGAAGATTTTTCTTGATCACAAAAGTCTTCGGGGGGTTTTCTGCTTCATTTTAAACTGACAGTTAGAAAACTGTCAGTTTTAAATCTCCACCTTTACATTTCCCCTAAGTCACTAAGTAAATTTTTCCAATTACGGACTGCTGTTGCTGCTATGGGAATTTATGGCACTTAACGGGGTAAACATACAAATCTGAAAATTTAAAAAAACAAAATACAAGAATATTAGTTAGAAAAACAGCTAAAATGATTTTTATTAAATAATTGATATAACATCTGACCAAATTGACGTGTTTTCTACCTTTTTAGAAAATTTAAATATCGTTTTCTAACGCGATGGAGGAAGTCCTGCCAATAAATCAGTCTCTTCAATTCGTTATTTCAGCAAATGACTCTCAGTTAGCCGAAGAATTGCCCCTTTTCGCAACCGTTATTAGATTTATACGTATTCCCGTGTGGTGCCTCATTCTCTGCTTTGGACTGTTTGGCAATGTACTCACTGTTCTGGTGCTGCGGTCAAGGAAACTACGTCAGTCCAGTTCCTGCTTCTATCTCACCGTGTTGGCCATCACCGACATACTCTACCTGCTAACCAGTCTCCTGGCCTCCATCGTGAACTACATATTCCTCTTCCCGCTAGAGCTCAGACAGAAATCAGCCGTGCTTTGTGTGATAACACCTTTTCTGCACTACACTCTGGCCTACATAAGTGTCTGGCTATTGGTTGCAGTCACAGTGGAGCGCGCCATATGGGTGGTCCTGCCGTTCAGGGCTCGTCGAATCTGCACCGACCTGACAGCCAAAATCACGGTCACCTGTTTCATCCTCGGATTCACTCTTACTGACTCTCACTTCTTTTTCACCATGAAGTACCAAGAAATCTCACCCGGTTCATTTGCCTGCATACCGACCTACTTTGCAGATCGCGTATTCCCCTTCTACGACCTCCTCTTTGCTGCTCTGCTGCCCTGCTTCATCATGCTCATCGCCAACATTATGATTGGCATAAAACTGCGGTCTATGCGCAAATTCCGCAGTGGCATAAAGGCTTTCAGTGAGAACGGCGCAGCGGAGACTTCCCGGGTGAGAGTCACTTGTGCCAGCACTGCCGACGAGGACTGCATCGAGCAGCCGCGGTCGGGCTCACTCCAAGCCCCAGGCGAGCCTCAACGCAGCAGACTAAGCGCTGCCACCGCAACAACCAAGTGTTCCAAAGAGAAATCTACCTACCTAACTAAAATGCTGGTCTCCACCAATGTCTTCTTCATCATCAGCGTCACCCCCCTGCTCGTCTATGATGTCATCTACTTTGCTGTGGACTTGCGAAAATGGGCCGCCGTCTCGGAGGAAGTACGAGGGGCTGTGCTGTTTGCCCTCGAGACGGTGGTTTACACCCTCTGGTACACCAACTTTGCCATCCACTTCCTTCTCTACTGCCTCAGTGGACCGCCCTTCAGGTTGGAATCAATTGCACTACTGAGCCGATGCTACGCCGCCTGCCGCGCCTGCCTCGCTCCGGGCTCCGCACCGGTTCGGACACTGGGCAAGCGGCCTCGATCAGTCTATAATTAACCCACCCCCGAGCCCTACTCCATCCCCCTCCCTGCACCAGACCCCTCACTGGAGGCGCCTGATGGGGTGCCGTTACAGACAAAAACGTGGCGCGATGCCAGCAGTCGATTGGTAACGGAGACTGAGGATCGTTTTTTAGACGACGGGAGGAGAAAATAAAGGTTGGGGACAACCGCATGGATAGAGATGCCTGTTAGGAGCCAAATGATTTCTGACGAAACTGAGGACGTAGAAGCACTTGAAGGAGCTGTGAAAGGCATAAAAACCTGTAAATTAAAGCCCAGTATTTATTTTTCCATGCCTTGATGAGTTGATCGAAGGAAGGGTTCACAATGCGTTCAGTACATACGACTGTAGTAGATAAAAGAATGAGATTGATGTAGTTATTCCTCCTAAAAGAGCAAACGGTGAAATTTTTAAAGTTATAAAATGTTCACGCGACGGCCTTGTCTGTTGACTCACGTTTGAGGAAAATATTCATTCATATTGTCAGGGCTTGTAAAGACAAGAAAATTTTTTGATCAAAAAGGCAAACAGGTTAAGGTGGGAATTTTAAATAGCAATTTTTAAGAGCAAGCATATTATTTTTTATTGAAAACCAGAACATTAACTGAGGCCACACAAGTGTTTGAAAAGGCAATTAAATTCTCCTGACTTTCAGCCTAGAATTTGAAATCTAAATTCTAGACATGCTTCGCCAACTTAAATGTATTTTTTTGGCAAAACTGCCATAGTTGAAATATTTATGAATAGGCTCCAAGTGCCACCTCCTGTGTCAATAAGCAGTAAAAAAATAGGCAAAACATTTTTCTGAGCCTTTGGCTAACTCCTACATTGGTAGTATGGCGGAACCACTGCCCACAAAATTGTACTACGAGTCGAACTACTCGTTTGCAGAATGAACTGTACGCGGTTGTCTGCAGATGTGGATTCACATTGACTCATATTATTCATGTCTTTTTTGGTAGAGGACCTAAAGCTTAATGTTTTTGCACTTCATGTCCAATAGCCCTTCAGGTAATTTGAATAATTATTTGCGTAGCACATATATAAATATACATGAATGGACGACATTGACGTAAATGTTCCTTTTTAACCGATATGATTAATTGCAATCAACGACAGTAAAATAAACTAGGGAGGAAAAATGGACGAAGAGCTTAATTAACTGTTCAAAAGCCATGAGGGTTCAGGACGTTTCGAGGCACAGGTTGTAAAAATATTGCCTGCTATCATATACTGGACAGTGGAGTAGAAACGTTGTTTTTCTACAGGACAGGCATTATCAAATCAGTGTCCAAACTAATGCGCATGCAGCTTAAGCAAACAATTTTCTTTTTTTCCCCTTAGGTTTAATCTCATTTTGCCTCCCCCCACATTAATCCGTTCTGAGGAAGAGCCCTGTTGGAACCCATTAAAAGCTATGATAATGTGAAAAACTAAGGGGATTGGAGTGGCCAAATTGCGCGCGTTTTGCCGCGCTGCTTCATACCGCCGATTTTAAACAATGAATGAGGAACATACGACTCTCCTTATTTATAAGCATCCACCTTTAGTACTCTCGAATATTAATTTATATCTTGCAAATAAAACACAGTCGCCAAGGAATATTTGCTTAGTCAAAAAGACAATTATTGGCCAGAAAAAAGCATGGTCATCAAAAGTCGATAGCAGTTTTATAAAAAGGGCCTTTTTGACCTTCTGTTACACTTGTTACTTTAGCCTGAGTCAGCTTTTCTACTAAGCAATTCTCCATCAGCTGTTTAGAATTAAGGATTTGTTTAGTGTGAAATTCAGTAATTATAAGGCGACTTTTGAACCCGCTGCGTTTGCGGTTAGCTTTAAAGAAACTACCCGTTTTTTTGGAAGACTGGCAGCCAGAGGACAATCTGAAGATTAAGAGCTTTAGAATTCTGCTCAGGCATCAGGCCACCGTCGAGTGGGAATCAATGATGTAAAGGGACTACTGCGATTGCTTGAGAGGACAGTAAGGACGGTCATTTGAGCAAGAGGATAAACACCTCTTGAAGCTTAACTTTCAGGCTCTATCAGACAGCGTCTTTGAATGCATTTAAGACCTCTTTAGAATCCCTAGCGACCACTATGTGGAGGTCCGCTAATAGCGAAGTTGTTACAGACTTAGCTACGCCGAATAGATTTGAAATTCTGACTTTTGACAGAGGTCGAAATCAAGACCACGTCCCTGCTGCGTGAAATGGATCAGTTTGCTTCCTGCAAAAAATTATCTGAAACGTTTAGGTGCTGGCGATCATTGATTTAAACATCATTTTCCGGGAGTAAAGCGCGGTAATCTTTGCCTAGACGGGGCACTGACAATTAGCCATGTTTGGCAGTGGACACAATAACTTCAGAAATTGCATCCATTTGGTTCCGACTGAGCCATCGCAAACACTGAGACACGTGAAAGTTTGCGTCAACGGTTACCCGTAAGTTGGCCGCGGGTGCGCGGGGTTTTATTTACTCCCCAATTCGACGGAATGCATAATGAAATTTTCTAACGATGATTTGATCGACACTGCGGGCATTAGGCAGCGGGTTCCATGTTACACAATAAAAACATAAAGGGAGCTGCATTGGAAGTATGTAAGAATGCATGCAGAATGCCGTGATAAGATCAAAATAACATATAAACTGCGAAGGTTCCTAAAAGTGAAAGTTCTCTTTAAATTGTTTAATGTATATAAATGTCAGCAGTCCGGTGGCAGTCCCTGAGCGCACATCAGTCGACCTTGAAATCCAATCCACATAATGAAAGTTGCAATTAAAATCATTTCGCATAAGTTATGTTATATGAAATATTATTCTGATATAAACGAATGGCAACAGATTTAATGTTTGCAGCAAAAACATACCATTTATGACAGTTAATAGGCGAGAACGATGTACACGTCCACTCAAGCGAGTGCACATAAGCATATACAGGTGCTGAACGACCACTTTTAAGCATAAATGTCATTACATTTTGATCATAATATTAGATACACTTCCACAAATGCCTAAAAAACAAACGTTTTAAATATACGGCTATAAGTGCATAAGATATTTTCACAATCCAAAAAATCCGCACTTAATAGTCCTCTAATATTTATATTTATTGAAAGGTGGTTTTGAAGGAACGGTGACTTCTACCTGTAGTGTCAGAGCACAAATGCTTTAAAGCGTTATTAATTTGACCCAATCTTCTTTGTGTTTATAGGAGTTTTCGATTCTCAGGTATACGGTCACAAGTTATTCGACAGTCACGCCTGGTCGCGGTTTTTAAATACGCCTATTATTGTCCACTTATGTTTGTCTGGCAATTTGTCTAAATTATGCCGTGTTCGCAGTTTCCAGAAGTGTATCTGCGGAAATCTCTTGGCATATTATATTAAACGCTAAGAAGAATTAAAATTAGAAGCACATCAGTTATTAACGAAATAAATGTATGGGGGCATTGGTATTCTGCTTGAGATCGAGATTCAAGGCACTCAATGTTAATTTGTGATTTTAGGTAAATTTTTGACTTTGAATATAATAAAAATGATGAACCATGCAATTGTATAAACTCGTTTTCGAGCAGCTACTCACTTTCTATTTGTAAATCCCAAAATGCGACGCTTCAGAAGGCAAAATGGCAATAAGAATTTGTAATTTCGAATGGCATTTGGCTCCAGATAAACTGTAGGCTTGGTTTGTCTCAGTCACATAAATGTTTGGAAGGATTTATTTTTAGATCATACAAAGGAACACTTACACGCTAACTCCTGACGTGCGTGACGTGTCCATATCCGTGGCCTGACAGTTGTCGTGATGCGCAGAAGACGGTAGACAGAGGCCCAGAAGAGGCACCAGGTTTGACCAGAAGCGTCTTTTGTGGACATTTCTGAACGTCAAATAGAAGGCGCTTTGAAAATTGTCAAAATTATGTTGACAATTTGCAGAAAATTAATAGACTACACATTCTAACTCGGAATTTAAATTTGCGCCAGTAATAAAGCGAAAACTGCGTGAGTTAAAAATAAACAATTAAAATAAGGCGTTTGAAAGCGTTTGCTATGCCACTATCAGCAAACCATGGCCCTCGTAGTCTGGCTTGCGCTAGCAGTTTCCTGACGCCTGATCCCTTGGCGGTAGATGCGCTTGCACTCCCGCTGGGTATACAGGTGATGGACATGGCGGCCCGGTCGTCTTCATACTTCTGACCCCTGTTGGGGTGTTGTTGTTATTGATGAAAATCCTGGTCAAGTGTGTGTTGTGAACCAAGGGGTGTGGCGGCACGCCTAGATGCGGGTCCGGCCGTGCCAAGCACCTGCGCCCTACCCGCCTCCGGTCTTCTTGCCGCTCTTTTGACACGGAGATTAGGTGGGGTAGGGCAAAGAGAGGGCGCGGTAGATGCTGTGCAAGCCTACATTCACTATAAAATAAATCACGCAAAAGTCATAATGTCTGCTGCACTTCGCTGTGCAGCCCACGGTCGACATCGTCGGAATAAACTCTCGACTTATTATATATATAGAGATTGAAATGCAGGCACCCCAAAAATTATAGTCTGGAGATAACGCCTTCTGTTGGAGAAAAAGAGAGAAGCTAGTATTTACATTTTCGACGCTGGTTCCCCAGGTCGTCATCGGACTTGAGTAAATGGAAGAAAACAATCAACATTTCAAACGTACTGAGAAAGCAATATTCATTTAGTGTTTGCGCCAGTAAGCGGTCGTCGTATGCTTCATTCTGTTTTAATTGGCTTTCGTCTCTCCCTCTTTTTCCCTGATAATTTTGTACACGGCATCTAACTCAATGTGCCGGTTAGTGCATAACTCATCGAAATCATGGTTTCGAGAAACGATCTGTTCAGTTAAGAGGGGCAAATTCTTTGGCGAAGTCAGAAATCCAGTCAGCAAACAGTAAAATCGTCTTCAAGTCTTTGATTGGTTCTTAGTTACTCTTTTTAGTTAATCTTCCTGGTTAATCTTCTGTAGTCACGTTGAAGCCGTTTTCCA